GCTAAAGCAGTCCAGTCCCATTATACCATATTACCTAGTCTACTTTAGTAACTTACGCCTAGACCAAGGCCAAGTACTTGTAAGCCAAAGCTGCTACCATTACCTACTACGCCCTTATAGAGTTCACCTAAATCCTGGTATCTACTTTATGGACTCTCTTCTATATCTCCAGAAATCTAAACTCCCAATCCGATGGCCCAGAAGGGCGGAACTCTTCCTCCGGTTATCTGACGGCCTGGTTGGTATAGTGCCTTGCCAAACATCTTGGTCCTGTCCGGTTTTCTGGTATCTAGTTGATTATTCTTTATATAGTAACTGTCAAAGATCTGTGCTACTTCTCTACTTGAGTCTTGCCAAGCAGGCTCCCATATCCTGTAAATTTGCTGTATTTATTTAATAGCTTCACTCAGATTTTGTATAACTCATACATCACACTACATGTTCCACTACCTCCCAATACAAGCTGGTATAACCAACATTACAGGTTCTATAACCTAATAAAATACAGTTTTCCAAATGCATTTTCTATAAATTCGAATTTTTGTTACTAGTGAGATTCGAACTCTAGACCTGCTGCTTAGGAGTATGACAACTTGCCAACTTCACTAAGTCACTATACCCTTTATTTTATTTTATATTATTTTATTTTATTTTATTTTATTTATTAAAATGAAAGCATTAATAAATAACAACTTTTCACTAGAAGCATTACAAGAACTTAACCAATTTTTAACCAAATAGAAAAATAAACTGATCCAAGAAAAATCATCACAATTAATTTAAGATCAATTAATTTTAAAGATTAATAAAACTGAAATAGTAAGAACTTCAATCGAAGAATTTGTTAATCAAATTCCTACAAGTTTCATCAACAATAATTTACTATTCAAAGAATTTATTAATAACCAAGCCTGGGATGAAGTTCTAACTAAAAACCTTTTGGATATTAACCAAGAACAACCATTAGACTATAACCAAAATAATAAAGAAAAATAAAAAAATAAGAAGATATTACTTATTGAACAAATTAACAAGCAATTGAAAATTGAATCTAAGACAAGCAAAGAAAGAAACTCACCATTTGAAAATGAAAACAATATATCAACTGTGACTTAGATTATAAATCAAATTTGTCGCATAGGAAAACAAAAAGGATGCCAAGCACAAATAGATTATTTAGAAGCAGCATTCTATCTGAGAAAGAAAAAAAATAAACGAATCAGTGATCAAATAAAAAGAAAATTAAAAATAGAACTTAGAGAACAAAAAGCAAAAAGAATACAAAAACAAGCAACCAGAACCTATCTTTTATACTTCAAATATAGACTAGAAAAGCTTTATAGAACAATAAAAGTTAATACAACAGTATTAGAAGAACTAACACCAAACCAATTTAACCAACTAGTACAATAGAAATATAATGAATAAATTTATTTTAAAAGTTAAAAAAATATATTTTTATTTATTTGGCATAAGGATACTATCAATCAATTTTTGCAAGTTCTCTACCTCAGCCTTTAAAAAACTTTGTTCAGCAACTAAATTCGCATACTGAACACTTCTTTTATAGTTCGCTGCCTCAACTACCTCCATATAAAACTTCCTATTTACTACAACCTCTTCTAAATCATCAACAATTCCTTCAAACTGATTCACTTCACTTCTTAAACCACCACTTTGCTTCTTAATGCTACCACTTGTACTTATAACATTCTAACTTCCCTGACTAGTCTAAATAAATATTATTATTATTACTATTATTATTATTATTATTATTATTATTATTATTATTATGTTATTATTACTTTTGATTTTCATTTTGAAGCAAGGTAATTGCTTCATATAAGGCATTTTGGCTATCGTTTCTTCATTGCTATCTAAGAGTGTGATAATTTTAAGGTATTTTTTATTTTATTATTATTTTGAAATTTAATACTTATACCTGGAGGGTATAATACCCAGTATAATAATTATATAATGCACTATATATATATTAAAGTTAGGGTTAAATTTCAAAACTTGTATAGTTATATGTAAAATTAGACGCTAAGCAATTTTACTTAAAGTACCTACATATAGTTTTCTTAGTAAAATTTTGAGATAATGATTTTTGATTTTTTTCTTATACTGAGTATCATACCTACCAGATATATATAGAAATTCTCTATTATTATTATTATTATTATTATTACTAGGAATTAGGAACTGATATAAGTCTAGAGTATTATCATATTTGGTAATATCCCTGACTGTACCAGTAATCAATTGTTGTTTTTAAAATAGTTTTGTAATCACACATTATGTGGTGGGACAAACAAAAAATTTTGAAATCATATTATTGATATGTTGATTATAATAATTATGTTAATGCATTAAAAAGAAATGTTTGATAATCGAAACACATCAAAAATGTAATTTTTGTATCACTTAATATGTAGAAATTGAGTGTCTGTCACTATGCTCCAGACAATTAATATTATTATATTGTATTATTATATTATTATTATTATTATTACTACCTTTGCTTTTTGAAATTTTTAATGATAAAATTTTAAAATTCTACTTTTATACACTAAATTACACAAATTTATACCTCTAACAATTATTATCTAAATATAGTAATTATAACAATTAAAAATAGAACAATTAAAAATTTTTATATACAGTATTATCAATTGTAGCAGAGTAGTAATGATCTGTAGCTGTTGCCAGCAGTTGTAGATTTGATATTTACTGATAAACTTGCAAACTCTGCCAACAGATCATAATTACAGTATTTGCATTACAATAGTTCTTTTATAATTTTTGAATTTTTAATTTTGCAAAGCAAAATTTTCAAGGAAGGAATAGTGTTATATTAGTAGATTTTATTAGTATATTTTAAAAGATTTTGTTAGTATATTTTATTAGTATAATTTATATTTATTATATATATATTTTTGGCTTTAGTTTAATAGTAAGATTTTTGACAAATAGTATTAATTTTAGTATAATATTAGATATATTAACTGATATGTTAACAGATACATTAACTGATATATTAATAAATATATTAACTATAATATTATCTGGTATATTAACTGGGTTGTTAAATAGGTTGTTAAATAGGTCGTTAACTGGATTGTTAAATAAGTTATTAACTAGGTCATTAACTACTGAATCATTAACTAAGTTAATAACTAGATCATTAAATAATAGTCTAAAAGATATAAAAATCCTGCCTTTTTCTTCAAAGTAAAGCAGACTGTCTTCTCTCTACTTTTAATCCCTTGTTATTTACAGTTTATTTTCTTGAAAGTGTAACCATCACCTATCTTTTTTTTATTGTGTTTAATAAAGTTTTTATTATATTTTTATTTATATTTAAAGTTGAACTATCACCTCTTCATTCTTTTTTAAGTATTTATTTTTAGTATATTGAGTTAAGCCATTGCTTCTTCTCCCTTTTCTTAAGTATTTTATTGTGTTTTAGGATTAGAGCCATCACCTCTTTTCTTTATTTTTGGTTTATAGTTTTACTTTAAAGTCTCTTTTAGTTTTTTTTCTAATTTTGTTCTTTTCTTGTTTGCAAACACATTCCTTAACCTTCTTACATATTAAGTCAAGTAGTATAACTTTACTAAAACCCTGTATTGCTATATTACAATATATTATTCATTTGTAATCTATAATGGATAATATGTTATCTATTTCTATCAAAATTGGATTTTTGCAAGTTAACTTTAAAACTCTCTATTGATTGAAAATTTTGACTTATTGAAGATTTGCTAACATCTAAATATTTAATAGTTGATTGAATTTATAACTCTACTAAATTTTTTTTGATTAAATATATTTCTAAAGTATAATACTTAACTAGAGTTATATTAATATTGGCTATCTGATTATTATTAATTAATAATTATCATTGCAGCATTATAAATAGAGGTTATTTAAGCCTTACAAATATATTAACATTTATACATATATCTGGTTTTAAATTATTTTTGTAAATAATAAACATTATATTGATTATGCTGAAATCAATAACTTATCAAATTAGCAGAACAACCATTTGGTTAATTTTTTATAAAGTGTTTTAGGAATAATAATAATAGCTATAATAAAACTAACTTTAAAATATTAATAATATTGATTTAAGACACAGATAAACTAGTTTGAGTTTCTTTTCTTGTTATCTTATAATCTGGAGTTTAAATATATTCTTTTTATTGTAAGAGAATTAAATTAAATTTTAATAAAGATAGAGATATAATCTCACTATTAATATTCAAAAAAATATTAATAATAAATAGTTTATAAAATTTTAAATATATCAAAATTAATAAAAATTAAAGGATGCTTCTAGACATCTCTTGCAGAAGATATATATTTCTATAGAGAGATGTATATCTTCTGCCAATAGTGATCCACAATTTAGTACAATGTAATATGATCAAGAAAATTCAAAACACATGTTTATTCAAAAAAAAAATCGCTTATTTTTCAAAAAAATGCATAAGAAACCTACTTTTATGCTCTAATGAAAAGTTTTCCTTAAGCAAATTTACTATGTAATTTACTTATCTCTAATCTTAATCTAATACCATTCTAATGTAAATAGACTTTAAAGAATTCTGAGAGATATATTTCCTGCAAGAGATTTCTATAATTTCCCAAAATTAAATTAATTAAATTATAAAAACAATTAATTCATTTTATATAACATAATTTATTTTATGCTCCAGACTTACATCAATTTCCGATTCCTAGTAATATAATATATTCGAGTTTCTACGTAATGAAAATAGAAAGAATTAACTCTTTTAACACAAATATACAAAAAAGATTTTCCTATTCTTATAATAAATCAACATACTATAAAGAAGAAAACAGCTATTATATTTACAAATACTTAATAGAAGCTGACGGTTGGATTGTTATATCATGCTTCAACACTCTTAATTTAGAATACATATTTAAATGCTCAATAAAGGATTTGTATGATTCTCTAAGAGAACATGGCTAAAGTTGCCTCCAGTTATAACTAAAGTTAAAACTATAATTTAAGCTATAGCTTGGATTATAGCTTAAGCTATTATTTAGCTTAGCTTTAATAAGGCTTGACTTAAATTTGTAGCTAAAGCCAGCCTTTAACAAATCAATAACAAAAAGATTGATCAATTAGGACCATCGAAAATCTGCATAGCAAATGCGCATAATTTTGGGCATAATTTGTTAAATTTTTAGCATATTTAGCATAAGGCCATATAAACTTTATGAATTGGTTTTCATAACCCGGCCGGGTTATAAAGCTAAATTGTGAAATTTAAAATTTATATATTAATAAAATAAACTTTTATATACCGTTAGATTGTGAAATATAAATTTCATAAGTTAAGAAATTAATTTGTATATGCTAGGTATTAGAATATTTTTTTTTGATGAGATTACTTATAAAATTTTTTTAATACTTAAAATTAAAATTTTTTGGTAAATAAAAAAAAAAATTCGGGCGGGCGGGTTAGAAAAAAATTTAAATGTTATGAAAACTAATACATAAATTTTGTATGGCCTAACAATAATTTGGGGGAATATGAGAATTCAATCAGCGAACCTAAACCACGTGCATGTTTCTCGGAAAAAAGCGGGATTTTTGGGATGTTTGACTACGTATAAAATAAAAATTTACGGCATAATTTCTAAATAGCAAAAATTTATAGCATAAATGTGTAACAAAAATTTATCATAAACGGACATGTAAAGCAAACGGATTTTGGGAGAAAATCGGTCGATGACCCAGATCACGGGTTCTCCAAGTCGACCAATTAGAATGCTTTAAGCGAACGGGAATATCTTAAAATTTTAATAGTATATCGTAACGAAGAGTCGCTTGAATATTCAAGACGTGATTTTACCCACAGTTAGCAACGTTGCCAATGTCATGATCCCAGCAAGTGAAGTCACCTCTCCAGTCGAAGTATGTTTCAATAATGCTTAGACGATCTTTCAATTAATCAATTGATTTTAGAAATATTAATTTATTTGTAATCTCATATAGGAAGAAAAGGCATCCAAAAGACTGCATTTACTATAAACGGGTAAAATATAATGCAGATGCCAAGAAAAAGATAATTCGTGAAAGAATATTTTACCGGTTACAATCCTTGTTAAGGTATGCATGCCTGTGTTATCAATTTTTATTTTTATGCATTATTAATTTCTAATACATTATTAATTTTTTTATTAAATTTAATACATTAATTTTTCATGCATTATTTTTCGGTTTTTATGTATTACAACATTAATAAAAATGGGTTACATGAATTATTATAGAAACCTACTGCTAGGATAATTTATCCTCGGCCCATTTTTCATGCATTATTAATCTTTCACGTACTAATTTTATAGGCCAAAAAATTTGTCGAAAAAAAGACTTTAGAAGAAATTGGGCAACTGCCCTTAGGGCACCGCATGGACCGGGTACACTTTTACGTAAGGGCTTGATTTATCCAAGCCTCGATCTTGCCCTTGAAACCCTGGGTATCTGCGGGTCCCGCAAAGTACCCGTGGAATTGGATGCCAATAGAACAACAACCTAGAGCTTATTACCCAGATCAAAATTTCCCAGATCGAAAAGAATGTTCTGGCTAAAAAATTCAGGTTAGATAATTGATCCATCATTAGTATATGCTAAAGTGAAATATCGCGTAATCGAATCAATGTCAGTTTCCGACATCAGTTAGCAAATTAAAATATGATTAACAGATACCCAGGGTATCCAGTCCTATCCGTGTAAAGGCTTAGAAATTGATATTCTAGTCCGGCCCTTGAAGGACTACCTGTAAGGTACCCGCGGTAGACCTACCCCATGACAATAATCAGACCATTTAAGAAATCTATTCAAAATTGCTCTTATGTATTCTTAATCAGTTATGTTGAAAATTTTAAGTCTAGACTACTTAATGAACAAGTATAGTCGTATCGGTGTCTAAAAAGCAATACAGAATTTTGAATTTCCGACTTGGCATTTTGATGATGCATCATGTTACACTTCGGAAGTTTCGTGAATTTCAAAATAAACTTACAATTAACATCCATTCATTCATAATGTAGTGTTAATGTACATCTTATAGATTTATTTCTCGTGGATGCACCTCTAATAAGTGCGTTAAATATGTGTACGAGAAGCATGTTTCTTTTCAAAGCTTTATTCGTGAAGAAAAATCAACTATTTTCATTGTTTGGTAATAAGAAATTCATGCAATAAAAAACAAATAGTTTTTTATTATGGTAATACTAATTTAAAAGTCCAAATTTTCTTGGATAAATCAATGCAAAGATATATATAGAATTATTTTTTGCATGCATAATTAAAATTTTCCAATTATAGTATTAAAAACAGTGGATTTTCATTTTTCGATAAAATTATAAAAATGACCTGTTTTGAATGAAGAATTAAAAAATTAAAAAAAGTTTATACTTTCAAAACAAAAAAATTCAAAAATTCATCTAATATAATCAATCCTTTATAATTAAATAATAAATTCCCTAACAAAATGAAATTACTTAGAAAACCCATAATCCTCTTGTTGACTACAGTGTCACTGTACACTATTTCCGCTTTCGGTGAAGGTAAGGACGATTATTTTGAGTCTTTTTTTTTTGGTGATAGATTTTAATAATTGAGTCTTAACCAACTAATTATTTCTTTGGAAATTTATAAAATTTTAATTTAGAGTTTAAGTGTCCAGAGCAACATGATGAGAAAAACCCTAATTGTCTTTACGCTAATCCAGATGATTGTTGTTCATTCTATCAGTGCGCTAACGGTAAACCATATTTGATGAAATGTCCTGAGGGTTTGCAATGGAATTCGAAACAACTATGGTGCGATTGGCCAGAAAATTCTGATTGTGGGGTTGATGGTAAAAGTGCAGATCATAAGGTCGAAGAACATAAGACTAATAACAATCCACCCGATAGTGAACACGATAGTGAACACGATAGTGAGCACGATAGTGAACACGATAGTGAACCTGATGGTGAACCTGATGGTGAGCCTGAAGGTGAACCAGATGAACATGATGGTGAACATGAGAGTGAAACTCAGTAAAGAATAAAATAGAATTTGATATTAGATTTGCTTTACTTTTAATATCGATATCATATGTTTACATTTTTAGATGTATTCGTATTAATTTTATTAACTATTATTAATTAGTTTCAATTATGTACTGAATGAATTCTTTTTGTTGTTTTAATACATAATTAGAGTGGGCCTCAAATTAGGTAATAAAAAATTATAATAAAAATTTACGTTCTACGCTTATTATCGAAATTTTGGTTTAAAAAATTCAGATTAGAGATTTATTAAATAAAAACAAATTAGGAAAAGTTAAACCGAATTTTACACCTTATTATCAAATTTTGCTACTTTTAATCTAAATGAAATTAATATTGTAAGGGTAAATAACAATTGTGTACTGCCTCACCTTTGAAGATTAAAAAAAAAAATAATAATAATAATTGTGTACTAGCGTATATACACAGACTATTGTTATTTCCCATAGAAAATTACTAACAAAAAAGATCTGTTGCAAAATTTTTCTTTTACGTTATTACCCTAATAGCTACGCGAATTTATAAATCATTTAATTAATACCCGTTATGTGGAATGGATTTGGAATTTTTTATTAAAATTAATAATTTTAGGATAGAATTTATTTTATATAAACCTACACCCTAACTTTAAAATCCTAAGAAATTCCAAATCCGTTCCACTTATAACATATATATATTCGTGCCATACTGTATTAAACAAATTTTAAATTGTATTTCAACGATAAGAACGTGCATGTTTAACGAAATACAGTAAATATGGCCCATTTTACCTTTTAACACTCGCGAACAGCTGCTGATTCAATTTCGATGAGTTTGTACTTAAATGAATGCTACAAACTATGGGATTTAAAACCCAAGATAATCAAAATGAATCAGCCGTTCTCAAAATATGACCATTAAACAGTGGCAATATTAAAATTAGTGTCGGGAGTTAGTACAAATAAGCAATTATTTTATTATTTAATGTCGATATTTCGTGAATAGCCAATCCGCTTCCAACAATTTCGGTTTTAAACGAATGCTATGAACGTTAGCATTCATTTATGTACAAAAATTATTGAAAATGAATCAGCTATTCTTTGGATATCAGTGCATAATTGCAAGAGATCATTCATCGTGTGATGATAATATATCGTGAATAGTAAATCCGTATTCGATTATTTCGATCATAAACAAACGAACCTTGTTATTAGTCATATTTGTTTAAACCAATTCGAAAAATAATTTAACCATTCTTAAATGCAGAAGAAATTTGTTGTATATCTCTTTTCCTAATCTTTTCCGCGATCATTGTAGCACATAAATTAAGATAGTACATATAATCCGTAGGAAAATTTTAAGCTAAATAAGTTTTCAATATAACTTATCATTGGCCCTAAACATTACCCTAACATTAAAAAGTAACGAAGAATGCTGTGAAAAATTTAATATCGATATTGATGTGGCAAATCACTGTGACTACTGTCGTCAGCCTGGCACGTATTCAAATACTGGTAAAGATAACCATGTATTGACAAAATAAAAGCCTGATAGCCAAAAATTTTCACGCTCACATAATACTGAATATGTATTGTAAATTTCCATGCGATTTTTTATACGTAGTATATCATTAAAAATGTAAAAATCCAGTTATATACTCGCATTATAATGAATATATCTGACTTTTCCCGAACATAATATTCTACTGATCGGGATTGGAAACTCACAATATTTTTTTCTGGATGGTATGCAAATACATTGCCTCCCAACACTTCATTTAAATCATCCTTATCATTAAAATATTTTATAAATTCCAAAAAACTAAGCTTATTAAACTTTAATAAATCATTAATAATCCTCTTTCCTACTTCGTAATGTCGATCATTTGGAAGGAGTCGTGTACATTGAATTTCCTCTCCACTTCATCTAAAATTGTCCGTTTAATGTCTGCGAAAAAGAGCAAAGGAGTTAAACAATTAATATGAAGCGGAGTTGCATAAACTTCATTTGGCAAAATAATGAATACCTTCAAAGGATTTTCCGGCCAAAAATCATCTGCAATTGTCTTCAACTCAACAATGCGACCACCAACCAATTCATAAAATTTTTTTTGCTTCTACTTCATAGATTTTGCGCTTGCTGATCAGATATTCCATTGAATCCTTTTCACTAAGATCACCTATTTCCATAACAGGTTTTTTGCACGCGACCAGGCACTGCGGGCTAAAATAAAAATTACAATACTATCGAAAGCATATCTGGAATGTGTGTCAGGTTTGTGGCGCAACTGTTGCGCATATTACCTAAACTGCGAATCAGATTTCAAGATCTGGTGTAATGTACACGATCCGAAAAATTCAAAACAAACGTTCGCTTTGTCAAAAATCGCCTATTTCTCGGAAATCTGTATAAGAATCCAAAAGCAACGATTGAAATAGAATAGGGATTGAATTTCTTAATGCAAATTTTTGTGATTGAAGAGACATGACTTGATGAGTAATGAAGCGAGATGATAAAACATTTCTGCAAATACTTTGTGCCATAATGTCTCATTAGTTAGATTGCAAAGATTAAGGAAAGACTGATTAGATTTAAAAATTTTTCTTATAGCTGATCGCATTATGGAAAAATTTTATCCGAACCGCAGTATATAAGCCACTTATTCACATGACTAAGTTAAAACATCGGCGAGATAATATTGCTTTTGAATTTCGAATACTGGAAAAATGAACGTGAAAGTATGAATGAGGGTGATTTCTTAGAAATAAACGAGAATTTGAGGCTAGAATGAGTGTTCCTACTGCACCACATAAAAGAGACTTAAAAGAAAGATCATTTTTCAATACTTATGGAATACCGTATCTGCCAATTCATTTCACTCATTGTCAAGATAAATTAAATATATATCAATAAACAGATAATTATAAATATTAACGTTAAGGAAAATTTACAAATAAGGACCCGGAAAGTGAAAATAATAACAAATACGGGCCCAAATTAAAAATAATCACATATAAGGGCCTAATTTTTAAAAAAATATTACATATGAGGGCCCAAAATAACTGCCATTAGCATAAGAAATGTAAGCATCGATAAATGTAGTTATTAAGCTATTCTGCTTGTCCAAACTCAGTTCGGGCCCGTTTGAAACCCAAACCCGTTAAACACGTGTTTCAGCGATCACGTGATTTTAATTAGGAACTGTACCGCTCAAATCTGGTTCGAAATCGATTTGTTAAGCAAAACGTTCATTTAATTTTTTTAATTAAAAGCTAATTTACATGACGTAAATGATGTAAATGAGTTTCCGCATTATTTATTAATTAAAAGTTATGCATTTTTTTTTACAAAAATGTATCTTCTTATAGAAGCATTTTCAATTACTATAAATACGTAACAATTTTTTTTTTATCATCTTCACACGCAAAATTTTTTTTTCTTTTATCTTCACGCGTAGCATTTTTTTTTCTTTATCTTCATACGATGAACGAAGAAAGCACACTCGAACACCTAATAAACTAAATGAACTTACCTCCACATATATTTAACATTATCACAGCACACACAATTGAAAGCGGCGGCAAGTAATATTGCAAACATTGCAATCAAGCCTCTTCAATGAATACGATAAAGATGCATTTTAAACGTAATCATCTGGATAGGTGAATGAATTAATAAGAGGTATTTGTAAAACGAATGTTGAGCCACATAGATCTGAAGCGCAAGCCTTTGTTTAAAAACGTGACATGAATTGAGTATGATTGAATATATGAAGGTCAAAAAATCAATCACTGCAATGAAATATAATCTATAATATTGATATAATACATATCAAGCGAAATGTACACATAATTTAATATATGGGCTGCCGTCAATAGAAATCAAGTAAATCTACATTTGCAAAAAAAATTAATACCTTAAATTTCACAGCTCATATCTCGATGAATTTTTAAAGGTATCTTGATAATTTAATATTCAAAAAAAAGCTTACGATCTTAGCTTTCTTTTGAATATTAAATCATCAAGATACCTTTAAAATTCATCGAGATATGAGCTGTGAAATTTAAGGTATTAATTTTTTTTTCAAATGTAGATTTGCTTGATTTCTATTGACGGTAGCCCATATACTATATAATAAATAAAATATATATATAGCAGGTTTTAAACTAACATTGTTTAAGCGTGCATAATTAATGTTATATGCTTATAAATAGTTTAAAGCAGATTTTGAAACCCAGTTTATACCTTTACAAAAAACTTACATTTTTGCGATAGCATTGAAATATTCCAGATCTTGTATAAATTAGCATAAATTATTAAGTTTATAGGTCGCCAAGAGGAATTTTTCATAGTAAATCGCGAATTTAGTTTCTTACTAGCACTATTAACGAGGCTTTTTGACGAATACGAAAAATTGACAGTTTTTCAAAAAACCTCGTTAATAGTGCTAGTAAGAAACTAAATTTGCGATTTACTATGAAAAATTCCTCTTGGTGACCTATAAACTTAATAATTTATACTAATTTATACAAGATCTGGAATATTTCAATGCTATCGCAAAAATGTAAGATTTTTGTAAAGTATAATGCAATTATGATAAAAGCAAAAATTGCAATTAATTGCAATTAATCGCAATTTAATTGCATTTTTTAACAATTGTAATTGCATAATAATTTAATTGCATTTAATCGCAATTTAATTGTATTGTAATCGGTAATTCTAAAATGCACCTATGGTGCTTAACTAGTGATTATAGTCAATCGATTAACTGTCCATCAACTGAGCCATTGGAAAAGTAGTCGGCTTGGTCAACTAAGTTATTCAAAATATTTAATTAATTTTTGTTAGATGAATAAATTTATCAAACGCAATCCTTTTCATGAACAATAACCTTCATACATATTTATTAGCCAATAAGATTTATCGTAAACAAGAGTATAATTAAAATCACATAATAGTTTAGTTGACCGACTAAGTTGCTTAGGAGGCATTTACTAATTTCCCCCCAAAGTT